TCTTGTTTATGGCATCAGTAATCACCCTAGGCTCTTGTCATGAGCTGCCAAGGCTATGGAAGCCCCCTGAGTTCACTGACTCTGATAATTTTTAGACAAGGCCATGGTCAAAGTAGAAGTTCTCTCCTCCCTTCAGAGAAAGGTACCTCCTTCTTTGATGACCCGTTCGTCCCACTGGGATCTCACTTGCAGAGATCTTTCATTTAGGTTTGTTTTTGTTTATGTTTTTTTTTTCCCCAGAGTATCTTCGCTTTCCATGCCTGAAATACTCTCATGGGCTTTTCAGCTGGATACGCATGCCTTAAGGGCTGATTCTGAGGCCAGAGTGCTGTTTAGGACATCTGCCATTCTATGGGTCTGCTGTGTATCTCACTTCCCATGTTGGATCATTCTCTCCCTTTTTTATTCTATCAGCTAGTATTTGCAGACACTATTCTTGTTTATATGATCCCTTTGGTTCTTAGTCCTATCATTATGATCAATTGCGAACAGAAATTGATCCGTGGGACTAGTGAGATGGCATTGGTACATGCCACCTTGATGGGATTGAATTGGAATCCCCTGGTATGTTTCTAACTCTACCATTTGAGGTAAGTCAGCTTGAGCATGTCCTAAATTGCACATCTCTTCCCTCTCTTATTCCCACTCTTATATTTAACAGCAATCACTTTTCAGTTAAGTTTCAGCACTTAAGAAGAATTGTGTATTAATTACAGTATTCAACCAAAAGTATTAAGTAGAACAAACAAAAAAAAAAAAACTAAGAGGGATAACATATCAAGTTGCTCATCAACAGTCAGGGTGAGGGCTGATCAAGTCACACAGTGTTCATTTCACTTTAACAGGTTTCCTTTTTGGTGCTCAGTTAGTTGTCACCTATCAAGGAGAACATATGGTATTTGTCCCTTTGGGATTGGCTTATTTCACTCAGCATATTGTTTTCAAAATTCCTAACAGGGATCACTTTTCAGTTAAAATTTAAACACCTAATTATAATTGTGTGTTAATTACATAGTTCAACCAATGGTACTAGAACAAAAAAGATACTAAAATGGATAAATTATTACATTGTACATCAACCGTCAGGACAAGAGCTGATCAAGTCACTGTTTCTCTTAGTGTCCATTTCACTTCAACAAGTTTCCCCTTTGGTGCTCAGTTAGTTGTCACCGATCAGGGAGAACATATGATATTTGTCCCTTTGGGACTGGTTTAATTCACTCAGCATGATGTTTTCCAAATTCCTCCATCTTGTTGCAAATGACCGGGTTTCGTTGTTTTTGACTGCTGTACAGTATTCTATAGAGTACATGTCCCATAATTTCTTTATCCAGTCTACTGTTGATGGGCATTTGGGTTGGTTCCAGGTCTTAGCTATTGTGAATTGAGCTGCAATAAGCATTAATGTGCAGACAGCTTTTTGTTTGCTAATTTAATTTCCTTTGTGTGAATTCCAAGTAGTGGGATGGCTGGGTTGAATGGTAGGGTTATATTCATGTTTCTGAGGAATCTCCAAACTGACTTCCATAGTGGCTTAACCAATTTGTATTCCCACCAACAGTGGGTTAGTGTCCCTATTCCCCCACATCCTCTCCAGCATCTGATGTTGGTAGATTTCTGAATGTGAGCCATTCTAACTGGGGTGAGGTGAAACCTCATTGTGGTTTTGATTTGCATTTCCCTGATTGCTAGTGATCTTGAACATTTTTTCATGTGTCTGTTGGCCATTTGGATTTCCTCTTTTGAAAAATGTCTATTGAGGTCCTTGGCCCATCTCTTAAGTGGGTTGGTGGTTTTGTTTTTTTGGAGTTTCTTGATTTCTTTGTAGATTCTGGTTATCAAGCCTTTATCTGCTGCATAGTTTGCAAATATTTTTTCCCATTCTGTCAGTTGTTTCTTCACTTTCCTGACTGTTTCTTTTGCAGTACAGAAACTTCTCAATCTGATGCAATCCCAAATGTTAATTTGGGGTTTGACTGCCTGTGCTTTGGGGTGTTTTCCAAGAAGTCATTGCCGGTACCTATATCTTGCAGGGTTTTTCCAATGATCTCTAATAATTTGATGGTGTCAGATCATAGATTTCAGTCTTTAATCCATGTTGAGTGAATTCTTGTGTAAGGTGTAAGGTAGGGGTCTTGCTTCATGATTCTGCATGTGGAAATCCAATTTTCCCAGCACCATTTATTGAATAGACTGTCCTTGCTCCAGGGATTGGTTTTGGATCCTAGATCAAATATGTGTTGGCTGTAGATGTTTGAATTGATTTCTGGTGTTTCAATTCTGTTCCATTGGTCTATCCATCTGTTTCTGTACCAGTACCATGCTTTTTTGATTACAACTGCCCTGTAGTATGTCCTGAAATCTGGCATTGTGATGCCTCCAGCTTTGTTTTTGTTGTACAAGATTGCTTTTGCTATTCGAGGTCTCCTGTGTCTCCATATGAATTTCAGCATCATTTTTTCCAGATCTGAGAAGAAGGTCTTCGGTGTCTTGATTGGTATTTCATTGAATGTGTAAATTGCTTTTGGGAGAATGGACATTTTGATGATATTGATTCTTCCAATCCATGAGCATGGAAGATTTTTCCATTTCTTGGTATCCTCTTCTATTTCTTTCTTTAAGGTTTTGTAATTTTCATTGTAGAGATCTTGAATGTCCTTGGTTAAGTTTATTCCAAAGTATTTGATTGTTTTTGTAACTATTGTGAATGGGATTGATCTTAGAAGTTCTTCCGCAGCTGTGGCATTGCCTGTGTATACAAAGGCTGTTGATTTTTGTGCATTGATTTTATACCCTGCTACTTTGCCAAAATCTTCTATGAGTTCCAATAGTTTCTTAGTAGAGTTCTTTGGGTCCCCTAAATAAAGAATCATGTCATCTGCAAAGAGGGATAGTTTGAGTTCTTCCTTCCCAATTTGTATCCCTTTAATTTCTTTTTCTTGCCTAATAGCTCTGGCTAAAACTTCCAGAACTATATTGAATAGCAGCGGTGAGAGTGGGCATCCCTGTCTGGTAACAGATCTCAGTGGAAATGCTTCCAACTTTTCCCCATTCAATAGGATGCTAGCTGTGGGTTTTTCATAGATTGCTTTGATTGTATTGAGGAATGTTCCTTCCAAACCCAGTTTGCTTAGAGTTTTCATCATGAACGGGTGTTGTATTTTATCAAATGCTTTCTCGGCGTCTATTGAGATAATCATATGGTTTTTCTTCTGCAGTCTGTTAATGTGGTGTATCACATTGATTGTTTTGCGCACATTAAACCATCCCTGCATACCAGGGATAAATCCCACTTGGTCTGGGTGGATGATCGTTCTGATGTGTTGTTGCATTCTATTGGCGAGAATTTTATTGAGGATTTTTGCATCTATGTTCATCAGGGATATGGTCTGTAATTCTCTTTCAATGCTGCATCTATTTCAGACTTAGGAATTAAGGTGATGCTGGCTTCATAGAAAGAATTTGGGAGGACTCTCTCTTTTTCGATTATTCTGAATAGTTTGAGAAGAATTGGAGTCAGTTCTTCTTTAAATGTCTGGTAGAATTCAGCAGTGAATCCATCTGGTCCTGGGCTTTTCTTTGTTGGGAGGGCTTTTATTACTGTTTCAATTTCTGTCTCAGTTATGGGATCTGTTTAGGTTTTCGATGTCTTCCTGGTTCAATTTAGGTAGGTTGCATGTGTCCAGGAATCTATCCATTTCTGATAGGTTTCCCTGTTTGCTGGCATACAAGTTCTTGTAGTAATTTCTGATGATTCTTTTTATTTCTGTGGTGTCTGTTGTTACATTTCCTTTTTCATCTCTGATTTTATTGATTTGGGTCTTTTCTCTTCTTTTTTTAGTTAGTTGGGCCAATGAGGTGTCAATTTTGTTTATTTTTTCAAAAAACCAGCTCCTCGTTTGGCTGATTTTTTGTAATGTTTTTCTTGATTCAATCCTGTTGATTTCTTCTCTGATTTTAATTATTTCTCTTCTCCTACTAGATTTGGGTCTGGTTTGCTGTAGGTTTTCTAGATCCTTGAGGTGAATTGAAAGCTCATCTATTTGGTGCCTTTCCAATTTCTTGATGTAGGCACCTATTGATATAAACTTTCCTCTTAACACTGCTTTTGCTGCGTCCCATAAGTTTTGGTATGTTGTGCTGTTATCCTCATTTACTTCCAGAAAAATTTTGATTTCTCTTTTAATTTCTTCTATGACCCATTGTTCATTCAGGAGCATGTTGTTCAATCTCCATGTGTTTGTGTATGCTCTAGGGATTCCTGAGTTACTAATTTCCAACTTCATTCCTTTATGGTCTGAGAAGCTGCATGGTATGATTCTAATTCTTTTGAATTTGCTGAGACTTGCTTTATGGCCTAGTATGTGGTCAATCCTAGAGAAGGTTCCATGTACTGCTGAGAAGAATGTAAAGTCTTTAGCTGTAGGATTGAAAGTTCTGTATATATCTGTTAGATCCATTTGGGCTATAGTGTCATTTAAATCTTCTGTATCCTTGTTGATCTTCTGTCCTGTTGATCTATTTCTGAGAGTGGAGTATTGAAGTCCCCCAGTACTATTGTATTGGGGTCTAAGTCTCCCTTTAAGTCCCTTAGCAAATCTTTTAGATAAACTGGTGCCCTATAGTTAGGTGCATATCTAGTAGCTGGTTCCCTCCAAAGTTTCCCTCAGGATAGCTGGCGCTCTCGCAACCCCGCAGTTTTAGCCGGTAAAGCGAATGATTAGAGGTCTTGGGGCCGAAACGATCTCAACATATTCTCAAACTTTAAATGGGTAAGAAGCCCAGCTCACTGGCGTGGAGCCAGGCGTGGAATGCGAGTGCCTAGTGGGCCACTTTTGGTAAGCAGAACTGGCACTGTGGGATGAACGGATGAACCGAATGCCGGGTTAAGGCACCCGATGCCGACACTCATCAGACCCAAGAAAAGGTGTTGGTTGATATAGACAGCAGGACGGTGGCCATGGAAGTCAGAATCCGCTAAGGAATGTGTAACAACTCACCTGCCAAATCAACTAGCCCTGAAAATGGATGGCGCTGGAGCGTCGGGCCCATACCCGGCTGTCGCTGGCAGTTGGCTTGCTGCTTACAAGAAACACATCTTTCCAACAAAGATCCATACAGACTGAAAGTGAAAGGCTGGAAAAAGATATACCATGCCATCAGAAATGAAAAAAGAGCGGGCATAGCCATCTTAATATCAGACAACATAAACTTTACCACAAAAACTGTTAAGAGAGACAAAGAGGGACACTATATAATGATTAAGGGATCAATTCAACAGGAAGATATAACAATTATCAATGTAAATGGGGAGTTGAGGCCATTTACATTCAGGGTGACTATTTATAAGTACTGATTTTGCACTACCATGTTCCCATAAATAGTCCTAATTTTGTATTTAGGACTTCCTTTGTCCTTTTACTGGGTCATTTTCTGTGTTCATCTTCTTTCATAGTGATGTTCCTGTTTCTGTGTGCAGCATGTCCAAGAGCTTCTTTTGTAGGGATGGGCAAATAGTTACATATTCTTTCAATTTCTTTGGAAGATCTTTATTTCTCCTTCATTCATAAATGAACGTTGTAGGATACAGTATTCTGGTTTGACAGGTTTTTTTTTTTTAATTTCTTAATACTTGGAAGACATCTCACCATTCTCTCCTTGCCTTTAGGTTTTCCAATGAAAAGCCTAGAGTGAGTCTAATTCAGAGTCCGGATTCCTCTGAATGTGATTTTGTGTTTCTCTTGTGCCTATCTTAAGGGAGGGTTGTGGGTGGGAAGGACGGTATGGGGGGGGGAAGCCATTGTAATCCATAAGTCGTACTTTGGAAATTTATATTCATTAAATAAAAGTTTAAAAAAAAAAAGATCTTTTCTTTATGTTTTACTGTAGGGAGTTTTACTATAATGTGTCATAGTGAAGATCTTTTCTGTTCATGTCTGTTGGGAGTTCTGTGTATTTCCTGTACTTGGATGTTGCTTTCTTTCTCCAGATTGGGACAATTGTTTGTTATTGCTTCATTAAGAAGACTAGAACATCCCTTCTCTCTTTCCACACCTTCCAGAACTCCCTAGGATCCATATGTTGGGTATTTGATAGTATCTTTTTTATCTCCAACTGTGTTTTAGTTTTCTAATTTCTTCTTCTTTTTTTTTTTTTTTTTGGTGTGATATTTTCACAAATTTGTCTTCTAGTTCTGATATTCTTTTCTCTGTCTTACATATTCTATTTTTAAGGTTTTTCCATCACATTTTTATTTGATTTATTGAATTCTTCATTTCTAGTATTTCATTCTGACTTCTCTTTAATATCTCAGTTTCTTGGGAGCACTTTTGATTTAGATCATGAATTTGCATCTCACGGCTTCTAAGTAATCTGATGATTAATTTTCTGAATTCCATTTCTGGCATATCCTCGATCTCTTCATTTTCACATTCTATTATTGAAGAGTTGTAGTGGTCCTTTGGCGGGGGGCTCATAGTGTTCTCCTTATTTAGTTTTTCCTCTGTTTTTCAGCATTTCTGTATTTTTTCTTTTTTTCCCCCTATGGAGAATCTCTTGTGGTGGGGTTTCCCTCTGTTACAAGCTGCTATGTGTGCACTGCAAGTGGAAGCACAGAGTGCCAACTACTTGAGCACTGCTCACTTAAGAATCATGGTGGAGGTGGTACAAGCTCCTGTGCACGTAGCATTGCCTATTGGGGCCTGACTTGCTTCTCAATGGTGGGTGGAATGCCTTGAAATTTCAATATTCAGGACATCTCTTTGTAGTACTGCTTGTGTGATAGGGAATACATTCTGCTGAAATCTTGTGGTTCTCATTCCTGGGTGGGGGGGTTGTGGTGAGGTAGACCCCACAATTGAAGGGCATGTGCACAAGAGCCAAAGGCAGCAGTCACCTCCTTATCTTCAAAAACGTAAACAATCAAGATGGCTTTTTGCAGCTGGCCTCAGGTCTGGGGAAGATGGAGAAGGGGGCGGGGGTGCCCAACCTCTCTGTTTGTTCTTCTATACCTTCTCTTTTTTTCCCATGTGGAACTTCAAAAGCAGTTTGCCAAGCTCCCCATCCCACTGCTTGTCACAGTTCTGTGGACATGATATTTCCCATCTAACCTGGTCTGCTGGGGTTTGGTGCCAGCTGCCCAAGTCTGCACCTTTGCTGCACCTCCACTGCTTCCCTTTCTTATTTGCTCTTTCAGCATGGACTTGTCCGGTCTCTGTTGGCCTCATGAATTTCCCATGGATATATCTCCATTGTGTTTTTGCTTTCCTTTTTGAGTACCTATTTTACCCTGTGTGACATTGTCCTGTTGCTATACTGCCATCTTGGGGTGCACCCAGATTTGTTTCATCATGGGGATTTAAATCCCCACGTTCTAGTCCAGCCATTGCCACAGTTATAATGAAGAAAATAAGTTTTAATTGTCACATTTTTATCTCTTTTTATACCCTCTCCCTCTCCACAATTCTCAAGTTTGTATACCTTTCCTTATTGATAATTATTGTTACTTTAAGCAGCTATTCTTTTTCCCAGTTGGTGTCAACTCTTACTTGGAAGTGAATTTGTTGACAAAGTGATAGTTGTGAACTGAGGGTTGCCTAATACATTGGACATAAACTTCATTTGCCCACATTAAATGTAAGGGGTGCTGTGGTGTAGCGGGTAAACTGCTGCCTGCAGTGCTGCCATCCCATATGGGTGCTGGTTTGAGTCCTGACTGCTCCACTTCCAATCCAGCTCTAAGCTATTGCCTGGGAAAGCAGTAGAAGATGGCCCAAGTCATTGAGTCCCTTCACTACACGGGAGACCTGGAAGTAGCTCCTGGCTCCTGGTTGACGCAGCTCCGGCCATTGCAGCCAATTGGAGAGTGAACCAGCAGGTGGAAGACCTGTCTCTCTCTCTCTCTCTCTCTCTCTCTCTCTCTCTCCTTCTATTTCTCTCACTGTGTAACTCTGATATCAAATAAATAAATCAATAAATCTTTAAAAAATAAAAATAAATAAATGTAAGGTTTGATTCCTACTTACAGGTTCTGCTTTTGAAATTAGAGACAATGAAGTCTACCAATTAGCAACACAGATTTTTCAATGAGAAGGGCTATGGTCTGAATATTAGTCCCATTATTTACAAATTATGTCCTAGTAAGGTGACTTCATTCGCCTATTTTTAATAATTCCTAAATTTGTGGAGGAGTTGTTATGTGGCACCAGTGGTGATAAGAACTTCATAGTCATTTTTCCAACCTTCATAACAACCTAGTGAGTAGATACTGATAATTATTTCGAGTGAAGTGAAGCTTAGATATATTGAAAATCATTTATATAGCCATGCCACTAATGGTGATAGAACTTCAAAAATCTAGCCATCTCAGTTCTATTCTTTATTTTATAGAAAAATGGGGGATATTAGTGCTTCGCTGAAAATTCTTTTGTGAGTTTCACATTAGTTATGTTTTAAAGATTCTGGGACAGTTTGAGAACATAGTGGATGACTATTTATATGATCTAGAATGGCCAACATCTTTCAGATTCTACAGAATCAGAATGAGTTAATATAATAAAATAGAAGAATGACAGAGGTTAAAATTATACTTGAAGGGAGCAAGAGCCATGCAAATGTGTTAGATTACAAAAAATATTTATGCTTCTTTTAGGTAAAATATTTTTATCCTTAACCTACAGTTGGGAAAGGTATACATTCACCTTCAATATGTATTAGGAATTATGGTAGACTCTGAAAAAGCTAAAGTAAATCTCCAGTTTTCACATCCAAAGACCTAAAAATCCCATGGATTAAAGAGCTAAAGTGTACTTTCGGGGCACTGTGATAGGTACCACTGTTGTGTGTAAGCATTAGGAGTTATAATAATACAATAGATATATACTTAACACAACCTTAGGAAGTCAACAGGACTTCTATGAGGAGATGGTCAATCATTAGTCTTTGAAGCAGAAACAGAGAATATCTGCATGGAAGGAAAGCCAAGTACAAATGCACTCAAATGTAAGAGGTCACATCTCAGGAATTTGTGACTAGACAGATGGTTTCCTGAGAATCGATCGTAGGCTATAATCTCAGTGAGCTCAAATTTGGTTAAAAACTGAAGACCATTACATAATCTAATCACATTTCCAGGGAAAGAACTCCTGTCTATCTATTGAATTTACTTTACAAGTATCTGACACTTAATTTCTAGTAACATATTCCCACTTTTTTTTTTTTAAGAGACCTCTATTCAAATGCAATAAATGTATGGGGACCTCTAGTGTTAGGGGTTGCTATGTGACCATCCTACCCCAAAAATGTAGCTCCTTCTTTTGGCCACAGCAGGCAAGTCAGAAAAGAGCATCAGCATCACCTAGAGCAGTGAGCTTCAATCAAGGAGTTGTGAACCTATCTTAGGTAACCTTATCTTGTATTGCACTTATTATGCAGATGTGAAGTTGTTGGTGTGTATTTGACTATAAAACAGAGATTCTGTCTCAGAATTGGCCATTCAGAAAATTAAACACACACACACACATAACATACACACACACACTAAGAGAGGGCAGGGGAGTGAGACCTGGGGGACATTGAGAGGATGAAATTTTCTATTTACTTGAGAGTTCCTGCTGTCACAATCAGTAAATATAGAGAAGTTGATATAAGTTGAATTTTGCAGTCACTGCACCCACAAGTTTTCTAATTCATACAAGTAAGTACTTTCAGTTTCCACTGTTTAAGAAGTTGTCATTAATTCATGGAATGAACTGCTGATGGGTTTATATTTCATACAGATGAGGTGAAGAACTCTCTAATGAGAATTCTCCCCAAAATACAGCCACACCTAAATCACAAGGGAAGTATTTGTAAAATATGCATGGTCTTTATCCTTCTGAGGATCTGTTCACCTCTTTTTATTTGATAAATTATACATCTCAGTAAGAAGAAGTGTCTTGACCTGCAATTGTCCTCCCATGCTTCATCTCTTCACAAGGTGACCCCTGCAAAATATGATTTTCACCATCTACAATTTGAGTGTCTACTAAATGCTCTCTGTTTGGTCCCATTTTTCTTTTGGGTTGGCAGTTTCTTTCTTTTTTTTAACTTTTATTTAATGAATATAAATTTCCAAAGTACGGCTTATGGATTACAATGGCTTCCCCCACATAATGTCCCTCCCACCCGCAACCCTCCCCTCTCCACTCCCTCTCCCCTTCCACTCACATGAGGATTCATTTTCAATTCTCTTTATATACAGAAGATCAGTTTAGCATATTAAGTAAAGATTTCAACAGTTTGCTCCCACACAGAAACATAAAGTGAAAAATAATAGATGATTTTTTAAATGATGATGAAATCAGATCAGACCTATTGTCATGTTTAATCCCAGTGAGAGTCAAGTTGGGAACTGATAATTTCTTCTTCTTTTTTTTTTTTCAGAAGATCAGTTTAGTATACATTAAGTAAAGATTTCAACAGTTTGCCCCCCCATAGAAACACAAAGTGAAATATACTGTTTGAGTACTCGTTATAGCATTAAATCTCAATGCACAGCACATTAAGGACAGAGATCCTACATGAGGAGTAAGTGCACAGTGACTCCTGTTGTTGACTTTACAAATTGACACTCCTGTTTATGGCATCAGTAATCTCCCTATGCACCAGTCATGAGTTTCCAAGGCTGCGAAAGCCCCTTGAGTTCTCTGACTCTTATCTTGTTTAGACAAGGTCATAGTCAAAGTGGAAGTTCTCTCCTCCCTTCAGAGAAAGGTACCTCCTTCTTTGAAGACCTGTTCTTTCCACTGGGATCTCACTCACAGAGATCTTTCATTTAGGGTTTGTTTTTTTTTTTTTTTTGGTTTTTTTTTTTTTTTTTGGTTTTTTTTTTTTTTTTTTTTTTTTTTTTTTTTTGCCAGAGTGTCTTGGCTTTCCATGCCTGAAATACTCTCATGGGCTTTTCAGCCAGATCCGAATGCCTTTAGGGCTGATTCTGAGGCCAGAGTGCTGTTTAGGACATCCACCATTCTATGAGTCTGTTGAGTATCTCGCTTCCCATGTTGGATCACTCTCCCCTTTATTCATTTTATCGGTTAGTATTAGCAGGTACTAGACTTGTTTATGTGCTCCCTTTGACTCTTAGTCCTTTCATTATGATCAATTGTGAACTGAAATTGATCACTTGGACTAGTGAGATGGCATTGATACATGCCACCTTGATGGGATTGAATTGGAATCCCCTGGTATGGTTCTAACTCTACCATTTGGGGCAAGTCAGCTTGAGCATGTCCCAAATTGTACATCTCCTCCCTCTCTTATTCCCACTCTTATGTTTAACAGGGATCACATTTCAGTTAAATTTCAACACTTAAGAATAACTGTGTATTAATTACAGAATTAAACCAGTCATATTAAATAGAACAGACATTTTTCAGCAGTTGTTGAATTCGAACTTCTGTGATAGCTTGGGCTTCCAAGGAAAGATTCTACCCTCTCTAAGATAATAAACACTGGATATAACATTTCCATTTGAAATATATTGTGTCAGTTCATCAGCATTACCTAATTTTTAACAAAATACGTACATTACATCTACCTCTGTTAAATCCCTTCTCTCGAAATTACCAGGATATGACAAATATAACTTCAGATTTGTTTCATCTGCTCAGCTGTGAAGAACAACACAGTGAGTAATTAGATAAATAAATAAAAATTAGATAAATAAATAAAAAGAAGTAACTATATTTTTAAAGAGTCAAGGAGAAAGTGTTTGCTGGAAGTGTTAAGATACCAGCTTGGATATCTACAGCCCATATCTGATATTCATAAGTTTGAGGCCCAGCTCTTGTTTCTTTTTTTCCAAAGATTTACTAATTTATTTGAAAGGCAAAAAGTGTGTGTGTGTGTGTGTGTGTGTGTGTGTGTGAGAGAGAGAGAGAGAGAGAGAGAGAGAATTTTCCATTGGCTCATTTATCTCCAAAACCACAGGAGCCACAGCTGGGCCATACCACAGCATGAAGCCTGGAATTTCATCTGGATCTCCCACATGGGGAGCAGGGACCCAAGTTCTTAGGCCATCAGCAGAGGTCATCTGTGGTGCATTTGCAGGAAGCTGGATCAGAAGCAGAGCAGCTTGAACTCAAACCTGCACTGTGATATGGGAATTCTGCACTGTGATATGGGAATGCAGATTCCATGTAGTGGTTTGACCCACTGAATCAAAATGTTGGACTCCCCTTACCCTCAACTTAGATCTTTATTCCAGATTCCTATTGCACATCATGGGAGGCAAAACGTGATAACTCAAATGGCTGAGTTCCTGCCACCCATATGGGAAACTGATTTGCCAGTTCCTGGTTTATACTTGGTCAAGCCCTGGTTGCTGTGGGCATTTGGGAAATGAATTGGTGAGTGGGAAATCACTCACTCTCTCTCCTCTTGCCTCTTTCTGCCTTTCAAATGTATATCACTGGGGCCAGCACAGTGTCATAGCAGATTAAGTGGGCAACCCATGTGGCACTGTTTTGAGTCCCAGCTGCTTCACTTCTGATTCAGCTCCCTGCTAATGTGCCTGGGAAACTGAAGTTCTTGAGCCCCTGCACCCACATGAGAGACCCACATGAAGCTCAGGCTCCTGGCATCTGCATGGCTTAGCCCTAGTCACTGCAGTCATTTGTGGAGTGAAGCAGTAGATGGAATATCTCGTCCCCACTCTTCTCTCTGTAACACTGCCTTTCAAATAAATAGTCTTAAAAACTACAGCTAACTTGTGAAAAAAGTGGAGGAAATATAGTGAGTATAATGAGAGATGAGTGGATATAATATGATAATTCTATGCTTAACTTCTTGAAGAACCACTGAATTGTTTTCCAGAGTAGGTGAGCCATGTTACATTCTGCACAGCCATATATGAGACTTCTCTTTTCTCCCTTCTTATTTTTATCACAGTAGTAATTCTAGTACAAAATACTATTTCATTCTGGCTTTGACTTGCCTTTTCCTTAAATATCAGAGACAGTCATCAGTTTTTCATGTGTTTATTAATTATTTATATATCTATTTAGATAAATGTGTATTAAAGTGCGTTGCCCATTTTTAAAGACAGAATACATTTTATATGATGGCTTTGAAAGTTAATTTGGATGCATCTACCAAACTTATACATAGGAATTACCTATGATATGGCAATTCTATTTTTAGATATGTAAGCAAAAGAACATGTCGACTGAAAGATAAGGGTGCTTATGGTAGTGCTATTCATTTTAGCCCAAAATTAGCAACAATGAAAATATCTGTCGATAGTAGAATGATTAAATACATTGTAACACTGAGTACTTGGAATTTAATACAATGTTAAAATGAATGCATTCAATGATTAAAAAAATCATGAGGGTGATTATTGCAACATTATCTGGAGCATAAAAAGTCAGAAACCAAACAATATAAGCTGTGGTTTTCATTTATATGATTTTCAACAAAAGAATTAGCCTTGAGTATTAGAAGTGAGGATAAAGGTTAACATTGGCAAAGTAGGAGCATACTGATTGAAAGGGAACATCAGTAGGACTTTTTGCAAGGAACTCACATTGTAGGTAGTGATTTTTACTACGTTGATCTCATGATAATCCATAGGTCCCCATGCTTAATGGAATGGTCAATTCTCTGAGAATATTTCAATTAAATAGTTCATTTTAAATGTTAATTATCAATAAACACATTAGAATGTCATTAGTGTAGATAGTATTAAGTAAACATATACTCACCTTTTCCTGAAATGAATGTAAATAAATATATAAAGGTCACAGTAGTCTGAAGGTATTTAAAGATCAGATAGATAGTGTAAACTGTGTCATCTGATTTTAGTTTGATTTACATTCAACATCAGTTTTTTTACCAATAAAATTATTGGAATAAATACTTACATTGTTTGAGTATTTTGACTCTGTTCTAGCTGCTTTGTATTTTCCTATTCAGCTGTTCTTGATTTATAATTAAGCCTAAAAATTATTTTTAAAAATGTTATATAACTTACTTAGAGGCAGAGGGAGAGAGAGAAAACTCCCATCTGCTTCTTCACTCCCAAAATGCTTGCAATGGCTGGAGCTGGCCAAGAACATAGCTGATCATAAGGAACTCAATCCTGGTCTCCCTCATGAGAGTTATCTGTGTGAAATAGCTAATTCTTACATCACAGGATTCTTACACCACTGGATTCTATTCTTGTGTTATGTTAAAGATAGAATATTTCAATACCTAGATTCCATAATGTTTGGACTTTCACTCAATTTGAGATCAAATTAATATCTATAATGAATTTGATGACCAGCGTTTAATTAAGAGGCTAGAAATTGTAAATGAGGGATTTTTTTAAAGATTTACTTATTTATTTGAAAGGCAGAGTTACACAGAGAGAAGGAGAGACAGAGAAAGAGAGAGAAAAAGAGAGAGGTCTTCCATCTGCTGGCTCACACCCCAGTTGGCCACAAAGGCTGAAGCCAGGAGCTACTTCTGGGTCTCCCATGTGGTTCAGGGGCCCAAGGACTTGGGCCATCGTCTACAGCTTTCCCAGGCCATAGCAGAGAGCAGGATTGGAAGTGGAGCACCTGGGACTTGGACCGGCACCCATATGGGATACTGACACTGCAGGCAGTGGCTTAACATGTTATGCCGCAGCACTGGCCCCTAAATGAGGGAAATTATAGGAGTGTCAAAGAACTTGTTTTCTTACATTTGGCTTGTAAAATCATATTGTGTTATTGTAATTATATTGGCTTGTAAAATCATTTCATTATGTTAAACCATGGATTTTTAAAGGAGACTTATTTATATGAATGACACAGAGAGAGGGAAGGAGAAACACACACAGAGAGAGGGAGAGAGAGAGAGAGAATCTTCCATCTGCTGATTAGTCCCCAAATGATAGCAATGGCCAAGATTGAGCCAGGCAGAAGCTAGGATCCTGGAAGTCCATCTTGGTCTCCTCCAAAAAATAACAAAAAATATAGCTCCTAGAGTCTGCTTTAAGGGATTTTGAAAAATACCTTCCCCAACCCATGCACACACACCTGGAAATACGCCAGGATACTTTAAAAGTCCATAGAAGGAGCCGGTGCTGTGGCTTAGTGGGTAAAGCTGCCACCTGTAGTCTCGGCATCCCGTATGGGTGCCGGTTCAAATCCCGGTTGTTCCCCTTCTGATCCAGTTCTCTGCTATGGCCTGAGAAAGAAGTGGAAGATAGCCCAAGTCTTTGGGGCCCTGCACTCATGTGGGAGACCCAGAGGAGGCTCCTCTTCAGATCGGTGCAGCTCCAGCAGTTGCAGCCATTTGGGAAGTGAACCAGCGGATGGAAGGTCTCTCTCTCTCTCTCTCTCTCTCTCTCTCTCTCTCTCTGCTTTTCTGTAACTTTGCATTTCAAATAAATAAATAAATCTTTAAAAAAGTCCCTGGAAAATGAAATTAACTTATCAAATAGAGTTATATGGAAAAAATAAGTACTTAGTGTTACACAGCACAGGGAGTCACATAAATGCATCCTGTGCCTTATGAATCAATTGAAGTGAGGAATTCAAAAGCTTCAAACATAAATGACAAAGAGAAGGAGAAGGTGATTGTTATGATTCAATCAGCACATGTTGTGCACATGGTTTGAAGTATCATATTTAACCTCATCAATATTTACAAATATCATATTAATAAAAATTTTAAAAAAAGTTCAAGGAGCAGGAAATGCTTACTAATATGATTTGATCTTCATATACTGAGCATATGTATCCAATTATCACACTCTGTCCCACACATATGCACAAGAAAAATCAAAATAAATGTTCACATCCTCTGAACAAAAAAAAAAGTTTATTTTGGTTCAAAAATTTGAAGACTATGCATATGACTGGTTCATCAAAAAGTTCATGAAAACTCATAGAATGAAAGCATTGTGCATTTATTTAAAAATATTTTGCATCAAAATAAGCATATTTTAATTCTCTCTTTTAGGCCAACTTTTAAAAATATCTTTAGTGTGGGGAGAGTCCCACTATAGTTGTGAGAGACAGAGACAGAGTCATCAATAAAATCAAGATATTGACTTTCCCTCATCATTCTGGAGAACACTCTCAGGTCTGCTTAAGGAAGAACTTCCCTCTCAGTTCCTGTAACAGGCAGTCACAAATCATTGCTGCTACTGCAGTTGTGACTTTTTTTAGACTTGAATGTAAACAGCATTATGCATTATGAATTATTTGTAACTGACCTTTTTTTCAACAAAATGCTTTTGAGATCCATCTACACCATTACATGAATCAGTAGTTGGTTATGATTTTTTGCTGAATAGTTTTTCATTGATGGGCATTCTTAAGCTTACTCACCACATACTGACAAGTATGTGGGCTGCTTTAAATTTCAGGCTACAATTAGTAAAGCTGATATAATAATACTCATACACAATCTTCTAGTAGGCTTTCTCTTCTGTAGGGGAGGTGCTGAGGTATGATATGGGAATATTATGAGTAGCTTTATAAGAAACTGCTAAAGTATTTTCCAAAGCGATAATATAATTGTATCTCTCCAATAGCAATGTATAATGGTTTCATTTTTTCTACATCCTTTCAACAGGAAAGGATGCTATTATTTCCAGTCTTTTGAGTCATAGATGTTTTGGCAAGTGTAGAGTCGAAGCTCACTGTGACAATAGTTTGCATTTAAAACTATTGGTTTTAAACAATTTTGATACCCTTAAGTGCTTATATGTTTGCCCTTGCTACATATATGTATAATTTCTCTGCTTTTTAAAAAACTTGTTTTTATTTTAATTTGGCACATAATTGTGTACACTTATGGGATAAAAGGTGAAGTTTTGATCCATGTAGACATTGTAGATTCAATCAAGCAAATGATCACATCCATCAAATTATCAACCATCTTCTGTGATGAGAGCATTAAAAATGTATGCCTTTAGTAACCTAAATTACCTGATACATTATTATACCTATAGTCCCCACTAATTTTTTTAGCACAAAGTTTTGTTGTAAGTTTTGAAGAATGCAGAATGTAATTGTTTACATAAAGTAACCCACTATTCCTGTATTGAATCTTGTCTCTAATTGAATCTTGTCTCTTTTTTTTGCAGGCAATTTCACATATTGTTCGCTTAATGCTCAAAGAAATTTGACAGACTTATAGAAAACCAGCATCCATGGAGCCACTACTCACTACCCAAGAGCCACTAACCAAGCTTTCAAAACACCCATATGTACTTTGAGATTCTAATGCAGTTCCTCAGTTAGCAACAGGTAAAGCTGTTACACATATGTAGAGTAACACTTTCTTAATTACATACACTGGCAAACAGAGCCCCAGCACTGATTTTGATTTTTTATTAAACAGTACATTTTTTAAGAGATTCATTTGTTTATTTATTTTATTTGAAAGTCAGAGTTACAGAGACAGGGAGAGAGAGAGTAAGCAAGCGAGAGAGAGAGGTCTTCCATCTGCTGATTCACTCCCCAAATGGCCACAACAGCCAAGGCTGAGCCAAACCAAAGCGAGGAGCTTCATCATGGTGTCTCATGTGGATACAGGAGTCCAAATACTTGGGCCATCTTATGCTGCTTTCTTTGGTGCATAAGCAAGGTGTTGGGTTGGAAGTGGAGCAGTCAAGACTCATATGGAATACCATTGCTGCACAGGGCAATTTAACCAACTGTACCACAATGCTGGTCCAAAATAGCACATTTTTTATTGTCCTTTGTGTTCATAATGTCACCAAAGAAGAGTATATTGAAGCCGAGTTATTACACATTGATTATCATAATTTGTCTTAAGTAAAATATGCATATTGAAGCAACTCTCTTGGTGATTCTGATATACTTTTGTTATTGTTATATCTTTGGGTTTGTATTTTTAATTTAAATATGCATTTAACTGGCAAATAACAATTGCTTTTATTTATTTATTTGACAGAGTTTACAGACAGTGAGAGAGAGAGAGACAGAGAGAAAGGTCTTCCTTCCATTGGCTCACTCTCCAAATGGCCAAAATGGTCGGAGATACGCTGATCCGAAGCCAGGAGCCAGGACTTTCTTCCTGATCTCTGCAGATGCATGGGCCCAAAGACTTGGGCTATCTTCCACTGCTATCCTAAGCTACAGCAGAGAGCTGGACTGGAGGAGGAGCAACCGGGACTAGAACCTGGTGCCCAAATGGGATGCAGGTGCTGCAGGATTAACCTAGTGCACCACAGTGCTGGCCCCTACAGTTGCATATATTTATAAGGCACAATATATTACTCATTTCAAAATTTCCAGAGCCTGCTAGCATCATGGCACAACATGTTAAATGGCCACATGTAAATCCGGCATACTTTGGAGAAATATAGGTTGGAGTTCTGATCTAGCTCCCTGTTAATATGCCTGGGAAAGAAGCAGAGGACAACTCAAGTTCTGGGCCCCTGCCACCCATGTGGGAGGCCTGGAAAGATTTCTGGGCTCCTTCTGGCTTTGGCCTGGCTTAGTCCCAACTATTGTCATTGGGGTAGTGAACCAGCAGATGAAGATCTCTTCAGCTCACTCTCTCTGATATTTAAATACAATAAATAAATAAATATTTTATAAATTGCCAAAGAGAAGATTCTAAATGTTTCACAAATAAATGAGTAGTATGTGAAGTGATGAATATGTTAACCAAGCTGACTTGCTCATCTTCCAATGTGCGCATCATGGAAACATTACACTGTATCCCAATATTGGCTCTTGCACAGGTCATATCTAAGACAAAATCTTTAACACAATCCTTTGTTTGGATTCTGCATCTATAACATAATAGTAATTCCCAGAGTTCTTTATCCAGGTCTGGACACAATTTCCTCATCAGGTAAAGTGGCTGCATATCGCATATCTATTCTCCTATCCATGGGTGGCTTGTCTCAAGATTTTATAAAGATTTATTTATGGATTTGAAAGGCAGAGAAGGAGAAGAAAGAAAAGAGAATCTTCCATCTCCTGGTTCATTCCCTAAATAGCTACAGAAAAGCCAGGAGTTTTATTTGGGTCTCCCATATGGATGCAGGGGGGCCAGGGATTTGGGCCATCCTTCAATGCTTTCCCAGGGACGTTGGCAAAGTGCTGAAGATGAAGTGGAGCCTGCAGGAAT